GTGTGTGTGTGTGTATATGTATATGTGTGTGTGTGTATATATGTGTGTGTGTGTGTGTGTTCAACACATTTCTAATCATAATAGTGTTAATAACTCATCTCTAATAACTGATTTATTTTCTCTTTGTCATGATGACAGTAAATAATATTAGACTAGATATTCTTCAAGACACTAGTGTTCAGCTTAAAGTGACATCATTTAAAGGCTTCACTAGGGTAATTAGGGTAACTAGGCAGGTTAGGGTAATTAGGCAAGGTATTGTATAATGATGGTTTGTTCTGTTGACTATCGTAAACAGATATATCTTAAAGGGGTGAATAATATTGACCTTAAAATGGCTTTAGATAATTAAAAACTGCTTTTATTCTAGCCGAAATAAAACAAGTAAGACTTTCTCCAGAAGAACAAATATTAGAGGAAATACTGTGAGAAACTCCTGAATCTGTTCAACATCATTTGGGAAATAATTAAAACTGAAGTAATATATATGTTACAAACAAGCATGCTTAAAGTGGTATAATGCATTGCTCTGCTTATAAACTACCACCACTACCACATCTAGTTATTTTTTAAAGATTTACCGCAAGATTGTTATCCATTACTCTTAAAGGAACATCCAGAGTGAAGACAGCCTCGAGGAGGAGCTGAGAAACTGACAGGAGACGCTGATATTACACACACACACACACACAGAGAGAGAGGACGATGAGGAGACGCTGACATTATAAACACACACACTGACAGAGAGGACGATGAGGAGACGCTCTCTGACCACTTCAGGACAGCTGATCTACTGAATACACCAGGTGAACACACACACACACTCTCACACACACACACACACTTGATTATTTTATTTGCAATGACTGAATACACAACACAGCTTCTAAATAATCAGTCAGTTATGTTTCACGGTACTAACAATTTGTAAAAACATAAAATAAATCTCTTTTATTTTTAATAAATATGATTTATTTGTATAAACACACACACACACACACACACACACACACACTTATTTTATCTGCAATGACTTATGCTGATTAAAACAACACAGCATCTAAATAATCGATTTTGTTTAAATATTATTAATGTGTGATAAGAACGTGACTAAATATCTCTTATTTTTAATAAATACATAAATGATGAAGAGCAAAATCATTTGTTTTAAAATAGAATATTTAAAGATAGAGATGACGTCGTCTTTTCCAAAAATGCAAACTACCTACTATTGCAGACACTATTGTTTCGAGTCTTTCCTACTCAGTTGAGCAATGCTGTAATCCCATTACACACACAAACACACACACACACTCTCACACACAGATGAACTAAATGAGCTCTTACTGTTGTGTGTGTTTGCAGATGAGATGAGTTCAGCTCTCATTCACGATAAACTCTTCATCAAGACCTTCTGGGAGCAGAAAATCCACAATCATCATCATGTGACAGAAGCAGAGGAGGACAGGATGAAGAAGAGCGCGCTCACCAAGTACAGCACTCTCTCTCACACACCGTCATATAACCTGTACGTGCATGGATGCATGATATCATGCTGAATATTAACTCATCTTTCATTCCGTCTTTCACACTGGTAGAGCGTTTAGTTTATTGTAAAATCCAAATATTTATCAGTTCTGAAATCAAGAATCTTCTGGAGCAGTAAAACAAATGTGCTCACTCTTTATTTTGATGGTCTGTGTGTTGAGTGTAAGTTACACTGCATCTACATGCCAACTAATCCTCATTAGATTACCAGTAGACTGTTAGGTTAGGGTTGGGGTTAGGGTTGACATGTACTTGTAAAGTTTCTTCTAGTCAGTTAAATGTCTGTTTAGCAGCAGTCTCAGCAGATATTAAGCAGACAGACTACTAATACTCAAATGCACCATCTAAATAAAGTGACACCCGAATATTTAGCTGTCAGAAATGTCAAAATAAAGTGTTATTCCTAAAAAAAAAAAAAAAATAGAGTTTTGTTAATGGAAATTTCATGGATTTGGGCTAAATATTTCCACCATAAAATATAAACAATAAAAAGATCCATTTGACTTTTAATCAAGTCTTACTTTCTTAACTGTGAGTTTATATTTGACAGTTCTGATATAGGGCACTATCATACACCTGGTGCAGTGTGGCGCAAGGCGCGACACAATAGTCTTTTGCTAGTTTCAGCTTGGCGCAAGAGTGGTTTTGAGGTGTTGGGTCACGCTGTTTAAATAGCAAATGCATTTGCGCTCATATGTGCGCCCATAGGTGTTCTGCTCTAAAAAGGAAGGTGTTCTGAGGCGCACTGCCCAAAGACCAGCGTAGAGTTGCGCCTCGCTGACACACTGCTTTATACAACCCGGGCTCATTGTGGAAACGTAGCCCCGCGGACGTTTCTGCGGACCGCGATTTACGTCCCGGGAGGTATGTATTCGAGCGTTTTTTTGTTTTGGCGGATCCGCGAGAGGCCGCTGTGCGCGCTTTTTTGCGTCTCGGGCACCTCTCACCAGCCGCCGGATCGTAAAAAAAAAAAGCAAAAGCCCTCGTCTTCGATTTCGACCGCATTTTCGGATCCCGCCGCGTTCTCGCCCTTATTTTTCGGATTCCCTTTTTCATCTTACCTGATTTCCGGAACCTGCTGTTCCCCGGACTCGATCCCGGTCGTCGTCCACCGCGGCCGGCTCCGGCTCCTCCTCCGGGGCCTCCGCTCCGCCGACGCAACGCTGTGAGCTAAGCAGACAAACTGATTGCGTCGGGAAAGCCCTCCACTCGGAGGCGAGCCGTCGGCCGGCGAGCGAAGGGGCTTTATGCGCACAAGATGGAGAGCAATATGCAAATATCTTTACACATGAAAAAAATATATTAAGGATATATATATAGGAGATAAATATAAAGGATTAAAATATTACAAAACATAATATTTTCTAGCCGACATAAATATAAAAACCAAACGTTCATGTCTTCTTCATCTCGGGAGGCTTTTTCAGTTCATTCATAACAATTTGCTTTTGTATAATGTTATGCAACATATGTTGTACATATATACAGTATATTGTTTTGTTTTCAAAAACCATTTGAGAAATAATGAGTTAAAATTGAGTTTTTCTTAAAACAAGCAAAACAATCTGCAAATGGGAGAAGTGAAATAAACTTAAATCAAAAACTATTATTTTACACATCCCATGGCGTCTTTTGTTGACAGCTTAAATATCCCTTAAAATAAACCATGTTCTGTGGTCCAAATCAACCCCTTTAGATAACAACATGCATAGTTATTAATATTATTTGCAGGGTTATTAGTATATAAATATATAAACTATATATATCTGGAAAAAATTAGACAGTTTTCAGTTTCTTTGACCTTGACAGTGTGTGTGAAATGACCATTTTTAAAAGAACTTAAAAAAAATGATTAGTATCAATAATAAAATAGTAAAATCAATAGTATCATATTATACTTGTTTCTAGTTTAGAAAGCAATATTCATTCAACCGCCAATTTATCCAGCAAGTTTTTACATAGCGGATGCCCTTCCAGCTGCAACCCATCTCTGGGAAACATCCACACACTCATTCATATACACACTCATACACTACGGACAATTCAGCCTACCCAATTCACCTGTACCACATGTGTTTGGGCTGTGGGGGAAACCGGAGCACCCGGAGAAAACCCACGCAAACTCCACACAGAAACGCCAAATGAGCCGAGGATCGAAACCAGTGACCCAGCGACCTTCTTGCTGTGAGGCGACAGCAATACCTACTGCGCCACTACCTTGCCCAGAAATTGGTAAAATAATTTGGTAAAAGTAATTTTCAATCACAACAATTCATTTGTAATTAAATGCTTAAAACATCATATATTTATTTATTTTTTATTTGCTTGTTTATTTTACAGGGACAATACACTTCACATTGTTGTACAAAGATAACCGATGTTGCGTACGTAGGGCATATAGCATAAAGCTGATTTGCAGTCCTCATCCCCGCTTAGGCTTTACATGAAAAAATAATAATAATTAAAAAACAATCTAGAATAAAACACATTAGAAATGTGAAAGTGGAAACTTTTCTCAGACCTTTATAGAATAAACAAATATTAGCATTTCACTCAAATGCAGAAAATCTGCATCTGCAAATTATTTACAAAAACAAAAACATTATTATGTATATGATGCACATTGGACCATGTGTAAAGGGACATTCGGCGCGCTGTTTTCTGATCCGTTATTTAATATCTCGCGTCCTGCTGAGGACAGAAGATTATCAAAATAACAGACCTCAAATGCAATAATCCTTGTTGAGACGGCGGCAGGTGTGGAAATACACACACACACACACACACACACACACACACACATACACACACACACACACACACAGCCAATTATACTTGCGTAACAGTGGGATAAAGATAACACATTTACTTTTTGAGCATAAAAGTAGTGATTAACCAATTAACGATCAATTATTATAGTGTTCAAAATAGTTTTAAGAAATTAGAAAATATTTATTTACATTTGAAATTAAATTACTGAATCTAATAAAATTTTATGAAATTAAATTTACATTGGAAATTAAATTACTTCCAAATAAATCAAGTTAGTTTATTTGTGAAATCTGAAAAATAAAAAGTATCGGTAATTCTGCAACTCTATAAATCATCATATTTGAGTGATTTCTAAAGAATCATCTGACTATAGACTGGATAATGATGTTGAAAATTCAGCTCTATAACACTGATATAAATAGTAGTTTACTGTATGTTTACAAGATTCATTGCAGAACTGCAGAAACATTTCAAGCATTTTCTATTCATTCAAGATCATTTGGAAAGATTTACAACAAATCTAGCATAGCAGTCGACAATAGCAGAGTTGATGATAGTAGGTGATAACAGAGTTAAAAATAGTTAATGATGAGATGAGTTGGCGATAACAGTTCTTGATAACAAAGGGGACAGTAACAAAGTTGAAAATAGTTGACAATAGAAGAGTTGATGGTGACAGAGCTGATGATAGTAGAGTCGACGATAGCTGAGTTCACGATAAGAGAGTTGACAATAACACAGTTGATGATAGCAGGTTTGACGATAGTTGACGATAACAGAGTTGAAAATAGTTGACGATAACAGAGTTGACAGAAACAGTTAAAAATAGTTGACAATAGAAGAGTTGATGGTGACAGAGCTGATGATAGCAGAGTTCATGATAAGAGAGTTGACAGTAACAGTTGATGATAGCAGTTTTGACGATAGTTGACGATAAGAGAGTTGACAGTAACAGAGTTGACAATAGCTGACGATAGAAGAGTTGACGGTGACTGAGCTGATGATAGCAGAGTTGACTAACACAATTGACAATAATAGTTGATGATAGCAGGGTTGAAAATTGTTGACGATTACAGAGTTGACAGTAACAGTTAAAAATATTTGACAATAGAAGAGTTGATGGTGACAGAGCTGATGATAGTAGAGTCGACGATAGCTGAGTTCACGATAAGAGAGTTGACAATAACACAGTTGATGATAGCAGGTTTGACGATAGTTGACGATAACAGAGTTGAAAATAGTTGACGATAACAGAGTTGACAGAAACAGTTAAAAATAGTTGACAATAGAATAGCTGATGGTGACAGAGCTGATGATAGCAGAGTTCATGATAAGAGAGTTGACAGTAACAGAGTTGACAATAGCTGACGATAGAAGAGTTGACGGTGACTGAGCTGATGATAGCAGAGTTGACTAACACAATTGACAATAATAGTTGATGATAGCAGGGTTGATGGCAGTTGACGATAACAGAGTTGAAAATTGTTGACAATAACAGAGTTAACAGTAACAGTTAAAAATAGTTGACAATAGAATAGCTGGTGGTGATAGAGCAGAAGATTGCAGTTAATGATAAAAACAGAGTTGAAAATAATTTACGGTAGCAGAGTTGACGATAAAAGGATTCACTATCACAGTCGACAATTACACAGTTGACAGTAACAGAGTTGATTATAGCAGAGTCTACGATAGCAGAGTTGATGATAGTTGACGCTGACAAAGTTAAAAATAGTTAACAATAGAAGAGTTGGCGATAAAATGATTGACAGTAGCAGAGTTAAAAATAGTTTACAATAAAAGAGTTGACGGTGACAGTTAACGATAGAAGAGTTGGCGATAAAATGATTGACAGTAGCAGAGTTAAAAATAGTTTACAATAGAAGAGTTGACGGTGACAGTTAACGATAGAAGAGTTGGCGATAAAATGATTGACAGTAGCAGAGTTAAAAATAGTTTACAATAGAAGAGTTGACGGTGACAGTTAACGATAGAAGAGTTGGCGATAAAATGATTGACAGTAGCAGAGTTAAAAATAGTTTACAATAGAAGAGTTGACGGTGACAGTTAATGATAGCAGAATCGACAATAGAAAAGTTGACGATAACAAAGTTGACAGTAACAGAGTCAACAATGGCAGAGTTAATAGTTGACAGTGGTGGAAAGAGTACTGAAGAAGCATACTTAAGTAAAAGTACCATTACTTGCCTAAAAATGTAGTGTGAGTAGAGTAAAAGTGTCTGTTGTAAATTTTACTCAAGTATAAGTAAAAAGTAGCCCTTTTAAAAGTACTCATGAGTAGTGAGTATTACGCTGTTAAAAGTTGATGCATTTACATGTAATTTGTGGATGTGTGTGTAAACGTAACATTCTGTAGTGCATTTAGTTATTGTCCAGCAGACACACAATGTCATAAGACGCTAATATTAGGTTAGATTTAGGTTGTGATGTCAGGTGACCAGAATTCAATGTCTAGCCAGCGTCTAAGAACAACATTATTTTGACATCCAATAATGACAATAAATGACGTTGATATTTGGTTGATTTTAGGTTGTAAGAAAGTGACCAAAATCCAACGTGGAGCCAACATCTTAAACCAACATCATATTGACGTCACATACTGACATTTATTCATCTGTTATGGCAACCAAAATCCAACATCTGATAGACGTCAAAGTGGTAACGTCCACACAACGTCAGGCTGTGACATCATTAGACGTTGATATTTGGTTGGTTTTAGGTTAGATGTTGTACATTGACATCAGGCTGATGTTGAGTTCTGATGTAAACCCGATTTTCATTTCCAAACAAAATGCAGCATCTCCACGACATTAGGGAACAATTTCAATCTGACGGCATGTTGACGTCTTGTGCCTGCTGAGTGTTTAATCCCATTTGGGTCATCATACAGTAAACATCCGTCATCTTCTCATCAGTGACCTGCATCTAAACCAGTGGTGCCCATACTCAGTCCTGGAGGGCCGGTGTCCTGCAAAGTTTAGTTCCAATCCCAATTAAACACACCTGGACTAGCTAATCAAGCTCTTACTAGGCTTTCTAGAAACATCCGTGCAGGTGTGCTGAGGCCAGTTGGAGCTAAAATCTGCAGGACACTAGACCTCCAGGACTGTGTTTGGGCATCCCTGATCTAAACAGTCTCTGGGTCAGTGCGTGTAAAGATTTTGAACATCTTCTTGGACACTTTTAATGCTTCCAAATAGTTTGCTGCAATGTAAAGTGCACATGTGTTGAAGTGGTTCAATATGATGTGGTTTATCTTCAATGTGTGATTTGATTGGACGGGAATTACAGGACTGATCTTTCTAATCTCCATAAACAAGAAATAATACAGTAGTGACTGCAGGCTGAAGGACAGTAGTGGAGTAACAGTACAGATACAGCACTAAACATGTACTCAAGGAAAAGTACACATGTTTAAAACTAGTAAATTACAATTCCTGAGGATAACTACTCAATTACAGTAGCTGGAGTATTTGTAATTAGTTACTTTACACCACTGATAGTTGACGGTAGCAGAGTTGACGATAACACAGTTGGCAGTAACAGTTGACGAAAACAGGGTTGATGATAGTTGACGATAACAGACTTGAAAATAATTGACTGTAACAAAGATGACAGTAAGAGTTAAAAATAGTTGACAATAGAAGAGTTGACGATGACAGAGCTGAAGAGTTGAAAATAATTGACTGTAGCAGAGTTGACGATAACAGGATCGACTATCACACTCGACAATTACACAGTTAAAGCCGAGGCTTGAACCAACAACCACCGTGACGCCCAGCATTGGCTATATTCATGACAAAACCTATAATAAATATACAAAATATAGCATGCAATCATGGCTCAGTGGTCAGCTCTGTGGCCCCACAGCAAGAAGGTCGCTGGTTCGAGTCCCGGCTGGATCAGTTATTATTTCTGTGTGGAGTTTGCATGTTCTCCCTGTGTTTGCATGAGTTTCCTCTGGGTGCTCTGGTTTCCCCCACAGTCCAAACACATGCGCTATAGGAGAATTAACCTACGAAGAAACAAGCACATTTTTAGTGTAGATGCTCCTGATCTGTCCTAAAGTCGTGTTTCTCCTGTCTGATTTCAGGCTGCGTGACGAGTGGCTCGTGAGATTGGAGACTCGGACCAAACATCTGAAGAATTTTGGCGACAATCGAGGCTCAAATCCAGCGAGCGTCTGACAAACCCCTCAGTGTGATCTGAACCGATGAGAAGAGCTCAATAAACACACGTGTGCCTCTGACCTGTTCTGCTCTCTTTATTTGACATCAGATGGAAATATTGATCAACAGGTGCGCTGAAGGACGCGCCGCTGCTATTTCACAGCGCGTTACGGTCGTGTCAAACACTGATCCTCCACACACACACACTCGGACGTGCTGAAAGATGCGACACACGAGCTGTGAATGTATTTCAGGCTCCGTCAGCACTCATTTAAACCCCATCCATCATCATCATCATTAACACAAACACTAATCAGGGCACTGCAGAAACTAATCATATCTAGAGTTTTGACTCTGAAGTCCAAATACCTGAATATTCTTAAATAGTCATTCATTCTCCCTCGGCTGAGCCCTTTACTTATCAGGGGTCACCACAGCGGAATGAACCACCAACTATTCCAGCATATGTTTTACACAGCGGATGCCTCTCCAGCTGCAACCCAGTACTGGGAAACACACACACACACACACACACACACACACACACACACACACACACACACACACAAAGGTCAATTTAGTTGATCAGTTCCCCTATAGCGCATGTGTTTAGACTGTGGTGGAAACCGGAGCACCCGGAGGAAACCCACGCCAACACGGGGAGAACATGCAAACTCCACACAGAAACACCAACTGACCCAGCCGAGGCTCAAACCATTGACCTTCTTGCTGTGAGGCTACAGTGCTAACCACTGAGCCACTGCATTGCCCCTGTTCTCAGAATTGGTGACGTTAAATTGTTTGAGTTTTTGCAACAACACCAAAAAAAAAAAAGCCAAATAATTTTGACTGCTTCTGAATAAGGAAAATAATAATCTGGCAGCGACATCATTTCGATTTCGGTTTGAAATAAGATTTATTAATTTTTTTTAGTCAAAATAAATTCAGTTTTTCCTTAAAACAAGCTAAATAATCGGTCAATGAGGCGAGTAATATAATAATATACATAATATAACATACATTATATATAGTATTATAATCTTGTTTTCAGTTAGAAGTAACAGAGAAGTAAAAAATCTGCTCATTTATTTATTTCTGAAGCATTTTTTCCCTGTAAAACAAGCAAAATCATTGACCAAATTAAAATCAGCATTTTAAAATTAAATTATTAATTAAAAAATAATAAAATAATTTAAAGTAAAATAATTCAGAAAGTCAAAATGTGTTTATTTTTGTTGTTTCTTAAGTGAAATAATTTACATGTCATATCTGAATGTATTAGGAAATTAATAATCTGCCGGCGGCATAAATCAGATAATTATGATTTCATTTTGAAATATGATTAGCATTTCATGACAAGGAAAAATGCTCTTTTATTTTCAGAAATAATGAGTCAAAATTAGAGCTTTTTCCTTAAAACAAGCACAATAATCTGAGAATGAGGTAACATAATCTTGCTTTCATTATGCTGATTAGCAATTTACAGATGAGTAAAAATTGTTCATTTTAATTTGTCGAACCATCTGTCGCCACTGGCTTGCATGGTTCAGGATTGGTAGAGCTACGCATCGATGAATTTACTCTTCAGTGTTTGAACTCTCAGTAATGATTTTTAAATCACACTGAACTGAGCTAAACTGAACTGAACTGAACTGAACTTAAACACTAAAAACTGAACCACCCTGATCCAGTTACTATGACCATTTATGTGAAGCTGCTTTGACACAATCTACATTGTAAAAGCGCTATACAAATAAAGCTGAATTGAACTGAATTGAATTTATTACTTCTGGAACATTTTCTCTGTAAAACAAGCAAACTCATCTGGTAGTGGCAAAAATAAATGAGATTATTTAATTTTCTTGAGAAGTAAAAATATTTTGTTTTTAAATCAAATCAAATCACTTTTATTGTCACATCATCAGCAGCACATGTGCTATGATGAGTAAAAAGCTTAGGAAAAGCTTTTAGAATTGAGGATTAATTAAACAAGTTAAAAAAAACAAACAAGCAAAATAATTTTGACTGTTTCTGAATATAATACAAATGATAATCTGGCAGTGACATAAATCAGATCATTTTGATTTGAAATAACCTTCATTTTTTTACAAGTAAAAACATTGTTTTGTTTTTAGAAATAATGAGTCAAATTAAAAGTTTTCCCTAAAACCAGCAAAATAATCTAACAATAAGGTGAGTAACATAATCTTGTTTTTAGTTTGAAAACAATCAAACTCTTTATAGATGAGTTAAAATAGTTCATTTTTATTTATTTATTATTTATGAAGGTTATTTAACTGTAAAAGAAACAAAATCGTCTGGTATTGGCAAAAGTAAATTAATTGTATTTTTAGCTGTTTGAAACATTTTCTTGAGAAATATATAAATATTGTTTTGTTTTCAGAAATAATAAAGCTATATTAAATGGGTTTTACAAAAAACAAGCTAAATGATCTTGATATATATATATATATATAAATAAAATCAGGGAGGGTGTATGTATGTGTGTGTGTGTGTGTGTGTATATATGTACACTGTATATAAAAATCTGCCAGCTGCATTAATCAAATAGTTTTCATTCCGGTTTGAAATAAGATTAGCATTTTATGACAAGTAAAAATACTGTTTTATTTTCTGAAACATCGAGTCAAAATTAAGAGCTTTTCCTCAAAACAAGTAAAATATTGGCAAGGAGGTAGCATATCTTGCTAATCAACTTCAAACTGAAAACATTTCATAGACAAATAATAGTACATTCCTATTTATTATTTCTGAAAAACAAAAATCCCTGTAACTCAAGAAAAATCATCTGGTTTGGAAAGTAAAAATATTGTTTAGTTTTCAGAAATAATAAAGCTAAATTAGGTAAAAAATAAAAACAGGCCAAATAATTTTGACTGTTTCTGAATATATAAAAATGGCATCACCATGAATCAAATATTTTTGTTTTTGGTTTAAAATTAGATTAGGATTTTTTGTAACAAGTAAAATTAGTTTTATTTTTCAGAAATAAAGAGTCAAAATTAAAGAGTTTTTCTTAAACAAGCAAAATTATCTGACAATGAGGTGAGTGACATAATCTTGTTTTTTAGTTTGAAGTTCATTAGTATTTTATAGACCAGTAAAATTTGTTATTTATTATTTCTGAACTTTTTTCCCTGTAAAAGAAATCTCTGCAAAACCATCTGGTACTGGCAAAAGTAAAATAATTCAGAAATAATGTCAATTTGTTTTGTTGCTGTTGAGCAAATGATTTACTTTTCATTTTTGGATTTATATTATATATATATATATAATAATCTGGCGGCAGCATGAATCAAATAATGTAGATTACAGCTTGATTTAAGATTAGCATTTTTTGACATAAAAATATTGTTTTATTTTTTTTATTTTTTTAATAATAGTTTTTATTTTATTAAGTTTTTACTTGAAACAAGCTAAATAATCTGACAATGGAGTAACAATTTTGTTTTTCAGTTTGAAGTTCATCAGTATTTTACAGACAAGTAAAAATGTAGTTTTGTTTTCAGAAATGAGGCTAAATTATGCGAGTAAAAAAGTGAAACGATTTTGACATTTAGTCTGAATATTTAATTGAATAACAATCTGCCAGCAACATAAATCAAATCATTTTGGTTTGAAATAAGACTAACACTTTCTAGACAAGTCATGAATATAATTTCTGCAGAAATAATGTCAAAATTAAGTGAGTTTTATTCTACAAGCACAATAATCTGCAGTGATGGAAGCAAAATATTCATGCTTTTGTCTTGAAATGAGTTCACTAGCATATCATAGACAACTTCTAGCATTATCAAAATAAACAATCCTGCATTTGGTTTGAAATAAACAGGTTATTGTGCTGATTTTAAGTAAAAACACTCAATTTTGACTCTGAAAGCAAAACTATATTTTTACTTGTCTAGAAAAGATTTGAGAATTTCAGATATTTGGACAACAAACAAGACAAGGACTCAAAGCACGGTTTTTCTGCAGTGTTTAGCGAAGAAAATATCCCAAAAAGAAAAACAGTCGGGTGCTCAAATCAAGTGTTCATAATGAAAACCAACAGAAATCCTCCATGATGAACTGAACTCCGCTCTCCAGTGTTCATCCGCTGTGTAATGTCTACTTCTTCTTCTTCTTCCCTTTCTTTCCTCCTTCTCCCTGCTGCGCTCCAGCTTCAGCTCCACCGCTCTTCTGCGTTCGGCTCTTCAGTTTCGGGATCATCTCAGCCACATAAAACATCACATCCTTCCCTGAGGACACAGAACCGGGTAACACTTTACAAGACGGCTATATTAGATCATGCATCACAGGCTTTTCTCAGTTTTTGTCTTCTTTATAAATCAAGAAGCATTTTCTAGACAAGAATAAAATGTTTGTTTTAAGAAATAATAAATCAGTTTTTAGTGATTTAGGTATCAAATTTAGTGATTTTTTTCTTAAAACAAGCTAAATAATCCTGTTTTTGCTTTAAAATAAGTTTATTTTAATTTAATTAAACTAAACCACAAAAGCTTTCATTAAACTTGGTGTAATTTCATAGTTAATGCTTAATTATGTGTTAAAATGGTATTCATTGTTTGTAGTTTGTTAACATTTCTTACTTGTAATTCTAATAAGTTCACGTCCAATGTGTAATGTAAGGGTTAATATTACCACAGCTCTGTTATATCACAACAATAATTGTTATTATTCTTACCAACTATACAGTATTCTAGAGTTGTTATTGACTCTTTCCTCTTTTTGCCCGCATTTCTGATGACTCTAAATTTGACAGCCCTCAGAATATTTTCAGCGAGGAATATATGAGCATATTATAAATCAAAATAAAGAAGCAACCCTCTGCTTTCAAACGAAAAAAAGGGTTTTATTCTATCTGCAAGTGTTCATGTTTAATACTTACTTAAATGCAGGTAGGTGTCATGAAAAATGTATTTGTGAAAATTAGAAAAATGCATTTTTATAAAAGTAGTGCATTAAGACATGACAAGTAAAAATACTGTTTTATTTTCAGAAATAATGAGTCAAATTCAAGAGTTTTCCATACAACAAGCACAATAATCTGACAATTAGGCGAGTACATTTCTAATAATTATCTCTCTCTCTCTCTAATACACACACACACACACACACACACACAAACACGAGTTAACTCTTTGGCTGCCGTTGTGGAGATAACTCAACAACATTATGGCATATTTTTATCAGTATTTTTTATCGTTTGGTCTCAGAGTTCATCTAAAATGAATCACTGGATGTAAAGTTAACATTATAACATATTTTTCCTAAATTACATAGTGCTACTTATCTGCTTAGTTAATTTTTATTATTTATTTTTACCGTTGTTTGGTCTTAAAGTCAGGGGCGTTGCTGGGGTCGAAAGGGATAAGGGACTTAGCTTAGGGTTATTGATCACAGTTATTTTATTTCACTAAAACTACACATTTTATAATGTGAAAACAAATATTAAGCTTCATCAGTAGTTAGAACTATTCAGTTTGGCGAAACACTTGTATTATTACCTCATTAGCTTCAGATCCACAAAATAATGACTGAATGATGACCATGTGACAACAGAGACACTCCCACCTGCTGGTAGAAACAGGTACTGCTGAACAGCTGACTATTTAATTACCCGTCACAAACTCAGCATTAAGTGGAATGCGCGTGATGTATGTGGTAATTTTAAAGTACTTGGATAACAAAATAAATGTTATACAACCTATTTTTATTTAAGTCCAACATATTCCAAAAGATCAGGGGCTTTTGATTACACATCAGGGGCTTAAGCCCCCAAAGCCCCCCTTTCGCAACGCCACTGCTCAGAGTTGATATAAAGTGAATTACTTGTCGTAAGCTTAACATTATAGCTTATTTTCCCTGCATCACTATTAATCACTCAGTTAATATATATATTATTTATATTTACGGTAATTTGATCTGAGTTAATGTAGAATGAATTACTAGATGTAAACTTGTCCTGGCAGAAGCTGCCGTCCTCCATCTTCAGCTGGACACGAACTCTTCCTCTGAACTGCACGTCTCTGTTCCACTCACGCGGATACATGCTATTCTGGAAGAGCAAAACACTTATTATAAATGATGATACATTATTATTTCACTCAAACAGCACACACACACACGACTGAAGACACAATTATTCACCCTCCTGTGAAACTTGAGCTTTTTTCAGTACATTTTAAAAAAATAATAGTTTTAAATTGTTCATTATGATTAAATAATTGTAAAAATATTTCTTAAGGTGGTCAATAATAAATATATTTTCTATTTAATTTGTTTTTTAAGTTTTAATTTGTGATTTTTTTTTTTTTTTTTTACAGAACAACCCCTTCCCCAACAGTTTAACCCCTTACAGATGAGGGATTAAAAAAATTATTATATAAAAATGTAAACATTAAATAAGAAAAATAATACTAAACAAATAAAGAGTACTGTCTTCATAATAGGGAACAATATTTTTTTAATTGAAATAAAAAGGGGAATACATAAATTAAATGAATGAAAAATATTTTCTATGGGGGTCTATGAAACTTGTTTTAATAGTAAAAAATTAATAAATAAATTGAACAAAAGATTTAATGATAAAATATTTCTTAAGGGGCTCATAATATTTTTGCAATTATTTTTAATAGTTATAAAAAGCAAAAACATTAATGAATGAATGAAAAAATATTTCTTAACGTGGCAAATTATACGTTATTTACAATAATTTTAATAGAAATCAAAAAGAAAAAACATAATAAATTAAATGAAGGAAATAAAATGAAAATATTCAATTTATTTACAATTGTTTTAAAATAAAAAAATGAATAATGAATAAATATTTCATAAGAGATATTAATAATTTTATAGTTCCTTATTTTTTTATTCCAGACAAACTAAAAAAAATAATTTCTCCAGATGAAGAATATAATAGGAAACACTGTGAAAATGATCTTGATTGGTTAAGAGCACTTTAATAATTAAAAAAATAAAAATAAATCAAAATATTAATTACAATTTATTGAAATATTAAAAAACAATAACATCTTCACAGAAGGGCGAATAATAATTGTGTTTTCAGCTGTTAATTATAATATCCAGACCTCCACGTGAACATTCAGACCAGCAGCGGAGAGAACGCCTTGAATCTCAGCACATGTCGGGTTCTCCACCGCCTGAAACACAAAAGAAAGAATTGACAAACAGCAGTACAGTTTCAATTTAACTGAAATAGTGTGGCTTTTATTTATCTCTGTTAAGTTGCTTTGACACAATCGCACGCACGCACGCACGCACGCACGCACGCACGCACGCACGCACGCACGCACGCACGCACGCACGCACGCACGCACGCACACACACACACACACACACACACACACACACACACACACACACACACACCTTGTCTGTAGGTATTCTTCTGCCTTCTGCTAATGTCTTCTTACTGTTGATGTACGCTGGATAAATGCACAGAAACCTGCAGGAGGAAACACACATTCAGTTAATTTAACACTGTTAGTGAGCTTTTAGAGACAGAACAAAACTTTGCATTCACACTTTGCAATACACATTATTTTTTCAATAGGGACAGTTCACACAAAACTGTAAATTCTGTCATAATTCCCTTGTTCTTCGCTTGTTCCAAACACGAGTTTCTTCCGTTTCTCAGATGGAAAAAACAGCTGCTGACTTCTATATAGTGTTTTTGTTGTTCCCACTATTGATGTCAACGCCCGATTTATCTTCAGAATATCGTCAACAGAAGACATACATAAATGTTTAGACTAACACTTCTGTTAAATAGAAATGAAAATGTACATTTTGGAGTGAACTGTCCCTTTAAGAGATGTCTTTTTAACTATTTTTCACACTTTCGGAGCCGGTATGTTTGCAGTAACATTAAATGTCAAAAATATTTTGTCCAACTTCAGACTTATTCAGTTCCTATTCCTACTTTTGTTGATAAATTTGTAAATATATTGACAGACTGATCACATTTTAAGTTGGAAAGTGAACATTTTCCAGCTGATGGATGGATGGATGGATGGATAGACAGACAGACAGACAGACAGACAGATAGACAGATAGATAGATAGATTGGATGGATGGATAAAACATTCTTTACAAACACTGTTAGTGAGCTTTTAGAGACAGAACAAAACTTTGCATTCACATTTCCATACATTGTTATTACAAGTGTAACTTCAAAATACACATTATTTTAGATTTCTTATCTTTTTTAAGACGGACAGTTCACACAAAACTGTAAATTGTCATAGTTTCCTCATTCTTAATTTGTTCCAAAACTTTTTCTTCTGTTTCTGAAAATGGAAAAAAAAACAGCAGCTGGCTTCTATATAGTGTTTTTTGTTTTTTTTTACTATTAATGTCAACACCTGCTTTTTTTCTCCCAAAATATCTTGTTTTGTGTTTAACAGAAGAAAAAGTTTAGAAATGCTTCAGTTAAATAGAAATTAAAAGGAAATGTACATTTTTGTGGGAACTGTCCGGTTTAAGAAACATTTTTTTTAATTATTTTTCACACTTTTGGTCATTTTGGAGCCAGCATTTATGGAGCAACATTGATGTCAAAAATATTTTGTCAAATTTCAGACTATTTTATTCTGTTTCTATTCTGACTTTTGTTGATGAATTTGTCAATATTTTGACAGCCACTCCTCACTTTTTATTGGAAAGTGAATGTTTATGCAAGAAGACTGGATTTAATTTATTTGACCATGTTTGTAGAGTAATATCATGTTGTTTTGATAGAAATAAATATGCGGGTTCCATTAATATGGACTATTTTGAGCAATAATGAATTTTCTAGCTACATTCAGTCCAATAATACTGGTGATAGATAGATAGATAGATAGATAGATAGATAGATAGATAGATAGATAGATAGATAGATAGATAGATAGATAGATAGATAGACAGATAGATAGATCATTCGTTACAAACTTTAACATTTACTAATCAGAGACAACATGGTTTTTAATCACATTAGACTACAATGCTTCCTTTCCACTTTAAATACCATAACAACCAATACAAACAATCACATTTTAACCATTAGAACCAAAATAAATAGTTTCTAGAGAGGGTTTATTTATTTAGGATTTATTTAGGATATTTATTTAGGATTTATTGGTTTTAACACAATACTAATATACAAGACCCACGGATCAATGCAGTTTCCATTAAAACCAATGCAATGTCTATTAGAAATCATATGATGGGTTGTTTTTAGCTTTCTCAGCAGGCTTTTCGATTCAGATATGAAATATTTTATAATTTAGCTATTGTGCAGGTCTAAGTAGACTGAAATGTGACCACAGGAAACAGATTTTAACCGCATTATACGTGTTGAGCACGTTCATTTTCAGTTTTAGAGGTAAACAGAGTCACAGATGTGGTAAATATGTAAACAGAATCGTCTGCTCGACTAAACTCCGCGTCTCTTGTTACTGACCGTTCTTTATCCGCCGGATTTGTGGTTAAATACGCCATAATCTCCTCTATTTTCTACTTTAATCGCTGTCTGTGAAGCACACGTCTGATTATGAAGACACTGCAAGGCAAACTCTGATGACGACTGCTGTTACTGTGACTCCTCACTTCCGGCGCCGGGAACTTTAAGTTCCGCTGTGATGGCGCCGCCTGCAGTTATGGCTAGCGGCGTTAGCATGTAGCGTGTTTGCTTTAAAGGAAACAGAACAAGACGAAAATATGTTCGTAAACATGATGAAATATGACACAGGAGGTGAAGGTAAGTGGAAGAGCAGGTGACTGGTGAAGTGAGTGATCGATGTAGTAATTAGCTGGTTTAATAATGGACTGTCTGTCAGAGACTTTTATTACCAAACAAACAAGCAAGCGCCAGCGAGTGATTTCAGCTCCTCGGCAGGTTTATTTAATTCAGAGACGTTGAGATAACTTCAATTTCACATTATAGTGCACATAAGCATGTGTTGTAAGTATAAATAATATAAGTTTTGTGTTGTTTGTTGTCGGTTAAAAGCAAAACATCTGCAAAACAAACAGCATTGTTTATATTTTGATTCTTATTCACTTGCATAACTTTATCTGTATATAAATGATTGTTATTGTGTCTAGATAAATGTTTTGTCTATATTGTATGGATGCTGTTTAGCTAGTTGTGTATGTAACTCCATCAATTTAGCACTAAACTTGGTCAAATTAATATTTAATGGCTACATTTGAGTGAAGACGTGAAATGTTATTGCTAAGACAGCTCTTTTCTATGTGCATATCTAGTAAGGGGTCATTCATAGTTGTAATGTAAATCTGAATTTTCAGCATCATTGTTTATTAATTATTTATTTGCTTTTAAATGAGTAGATTTAGTTGTTTTATATACAGTGCAGATCATTCATTTTAATTTTCTTTGTATAGCGCTTTTTACATTAATTATTGTTTAAAAGCAGCTTTACAAAAGATAAACATTACAATCAAATTAAGTAAAAGTTGCAATGAAATACAACTTATTATTTACAGACATCATTAACCTGCAATTTTGTAGTATATAAATAATAATAATAATAAACTTTATTTGTATAGCACTTTTCCAACATACATGCAACTCAAAGTGCCTCACAAACAACAACAAAAGCATTAAAATAGACCACAAAAACTTATCACATATACTGAAATAAAAGCATTCATGTACATAAAATGTAAGTATATATCCACATGATCACACACACAATAGTCCTTACATATGCAGGCACACACCATACATTACATACATAAACCTACAGCAAAATAGATAAAATGCGTACACCTAACAAACTTGTTTAATCATACACAATTTTAAAAAGATGTGTCTTAACACGCTTTTTAAAAACATGAATACTTGGGGATTCGTTCACTTCAAGGGGGAGACAGTTCCAAATTTTTGGAGCATAATGGCTAAAAGAAGTGCCGCCAAATCGCATCAGGTTTACAGGATACAATTCTGAATGTCCAGCACTAGAAGAGCGTAGTAAACGGTTTGGATTATATTTTGTTAAACAGACGGAAATGTAGGAAGGTGTCATATTGTGTAGTGCTTTAAAAACTAATAAAATAATCTTAAAATCTATCCTTTGGTGCACAGGCAACCAGTGTAATTCTATTAATACTGGTGTAATGTGCTCTCGTTTCTTTAATTTCTTTAAAACTCTGGCTGCTGCATTTTGTATCAAGTGCAACTTCATTGTAGAACCCTTAGGTAGACCAGTATAGATAGCATTGCAATAATCAAGCCGAGAGAAAATAAAAGCATGAATTAATTTCTTGGCATCATCAAAAGATAGGAAAGAACGAATTTTGGCAACATTTCTTAAATGATAAAAACATGTTTTTGTAACTTGATTAATATGAGATTTAAAATTAAGATCGCAATCGAAAATAACACCCAGGTTCTTTAATTCTTTTTTTGATTGTAAACCTAAAGAACACAGTTCTGCTTCAATCCTCTCTCGCTCAGGTTTTTTGCCCACAATTAGAATTTCTGTTTTATCTTTATTCAGCTTTAAAAAATTTGCAGTCATCCATTGCACAATATTGGACATGCAGTTGGACAAATTTTCCAATGCAGCAGTGTCTCTTGGCTCAACAGAAATATATAATTGTATGTCATCAGCATAAAGATGATGATTCATGCCATATTTCTGAATTATACTACCTAAAGGAAGTATATATAATAAAAATAGACTTGGGCCTAGGATAGATCCCTGAGGAACACCATATAATATATTGTGTTCTTGCGATGTATATTCATCTATATTTACTAAGAATGTCCTTTCTGTGACGTATGTATTGAACCAATTTAAAACTATCCCAGAGAGACCTACAAGATGTACAATGTTTTTAATTAGTTACTTCAAAATAGTATTCAGAGGTGATTCAAAGTATGAACACGTATAATTAAAGAGGATTCTGCATGTTTTAAAAGCAAGGGCAAGAACTAATGTAAAAAAAAAAAAAATGGGCATATGTCTGTCAGGGTAAATCTATGGAATAAATGTTATAACAGATCTTTTTTTTTTTGCACTTTGCAAATTTAAGAAAATGTACAACTATAAGATTATAAATAATTATGTGACTTAGTATTGTTACTCAGTATTTTTACAATGATTATGTGATAATAAAAGTAATTTGATTTGGTTTATTTAAATAAAAACTGCATGTATATTCAGAATATTGAAGTATTTGTTGGACTTTTGTAATTTCTATAATCATGCATGTTTGTAATTATGTCTGTGCATTTTGGGATTTGTTTAATCCATTTTTTTTTTTTATTTTGTACCAAAGTAAGTTCAAACTAGTATTGTTTATTAGTTAATAATTGTGGGTATAATAGGAAAGGCTTTGGCCTTCAAAAAGTCAAAAAGGAAGTAAGTTTTTTCTAAAAACAAGCATATGATCTGCAGTGCGGTAAGAAACATCTTATTTTAAAACAAAATCAAATGTTATTTTACTTTAAGATTAATTTTAAAGATTTTTTTTAATGTAAAACACGTATGAAAATTCAGCTTTGCAACACAGAAATGAATCACACTTGACTTTACTATATATTCACATGGAAAACAGCTTTTTTTTCAAAGTCTTTTACTTTATTAAAAGGAAAAAAAAAAGTTTTTACTGTTTTTGATCAAACAAATGCAGCCCTTTATAAAAAAATGTAAATGTATTTATTTATTTTCATTTTGTGTTATTCTGTCTGTCTGTGTGTGTGTGTTGTCAGGATGTACGTGTATGTTTCCGTCCGCTTTTGGAGGCCAGTGATGTGCTGTTGATCACACACAGAGTCCTGCAGGAGTTTCCCAGCAGAATCCTCCCTGAGTTCCGGCCCTGGTTCCCTTCTGCATATGACACACATCCACCAATCAGACCCCAGAGACCCGCACCGCTGATCCTGCCGGAGGAGCCGCTGCGTCAGGACCAAACGCAGAGCCGATCCAGAGCTGAGGGACAGAGATTCCAACGCTCATGGTGTGCCATACAAGGTAATTACAGTCTATATTATTCATTATAGTTTTCAAATGTTATTTATTAAAGACTCAATCTCTTTCCTGATTTTTGCATTTTTCAAACACAGATTTAAACGCAGCGATTGGAAGGATTAATAACCATATGCAAATCAGCATCTTTTATAATCGACGTTGTGTGGGTGTTGAGATCCCGATCTTTTAATGATTAATCTTGCAGCTTACACTACACAACAAGTAAAGACAGAAACACCTTTAATAACCTGAGAAACCCACCACATCCCAAATAGCCCACCACAACTTCTTCTGTCATCATTAAATCTTACTGAGGGCCGGTGTCCTGGAGAGTTTAGCTCCAACCTAAATCAAGCACACCCGAACCAGCTGATCAAGGACTAAAAAACTTCCTAGCAGGTGTTTTGAAGCAAGTTGGAGCTAAACTCAGCAGGACACTGGCACTCCAGGACCGGGTTTGGACACCCCTGGCCTAAATGCTTTCATACATGTGATATGAATGACACGAGAGTGGCGATCTCTCTGTGATCATTACACGTTTAGGATTAATCTACATGTAAAAAAAAAAAAAAGTATTAATCCGGGGGTCTCATGTGTTTTGAATCATAGTTTTTGATCCGTATGAATCATGGGTCAACCATGATCCGTTACACCCCTAGTGTGTGAGAATGCTTCTGTCAGTCTATGGCAGGGGTCTCAAACTGGATTCCTGGAGGGCCGCAGCTCTGCACAGTTTTGCCCCAACCCTAATCAAACACACCTGATCCAATTAATCAAGGTGTTCAGGACTACTAGACACTATTAAGCAGGTGAGAGTCGGAGGTGGTTGAAACTAAACTATGTAGAGCTGCGGCTCTCCAGGAATTGAGTTGGAGACCATTGGTCTATTTCGCTCCTGTCGCTGTTCATCTAAAACTCCACATCTATAATCCTCTTAGTCTATGCTGACATCATCTTCAGCAGCTCAAACACTCTAATGGCTAATGCACAGACGGCTGCTTCTCACTCAGGCCTGCTGTTTATGCTAATGAGATGGAGAGATGGGCACTAGTGGGCGGGGCTTTCCCCCTCTGATGACACGTACAAAGGGAGAATGTCAATCAAAGTGTTTCTGCATCATGTCTGATTATAGAAAATGCAATTCATTCATGTTGATCATTAGAGGCTGGAGATATTCACACACTGCTGACACACACACTACTAGGTTTAAACCCTGCATAAATGTGATTTTTGCATAATAAATGATATAAAGTGGGACTATACATGAACTAATGCACTCTTAAAGCATGATGATTTTAGTTTTGGTCTACTATAATAATCGTGATGTTCTCACAGACAGAAATGCTCCGCTGGAAACCACACACTCTTTTTCACGGCTCTTCCGGATGACCATCGAGAAACACAAACTGCATCTGCGTCAGAGGGTGCGCTGGGTGCTGAGTGAGAGGAACTGTGCTGAACTGGAGGAGCTCTGGATGGGCATTAACCGAGCCGTCAGACACTCCCGAATGCCCACCTGCAACGCAAACTTCCAGAGGGCCCTGGCGCAGATATGGCTGTACTGCGACGTGCTGTACTGCGAATACATCGGCAACTTCTTGAAGCAGGAGTTCCAGCTTTCAGGCCAGATCACTTTATCTGTTCATAAAGTGGGAGACATCATTCAATTATAAGCTATATTTTTAATTCAGACTAGTTAAACACTGTAAAAATGCTGTTCTTAACTTCTTAAAGCCCGAGGTGTCATTTACATGCATTTTTGGGCTTATTTATATTTTATTTTTTTATTTCTCTTTGATATTTGGGCTTATTGCAACCTAATTAGAATTAAAATCTAAGTGTCGTCTTTTGGTATGATGTACTTTTAGAGGAAAATGATGTCCATATATGTGGACTTGTGGTCTAAATTTACATAAAACACTTTTTCCTGACAGTTTTTTTAGTGCATATATAACATAGACATTTTTTTTAACTTGTTTTGATTATCAGAGAGGACAAACTCATTTTTTTTCCCCGTTTTTGACAGATAAAATAGTGTTTGGGACTTTTCATATGCTGCAAAACAGTTGCAGGATGACACTGTATGTCTGTAACAGAATATAAAACATTCAAAGTGTTTTAAATAGCCACTTAAAGGGCCACGAAACCCTCTTGTTTCAGCAGGGTGTTTTCACACCTCTACTTTGGAAAAAGTCAGAAAAGTGGGCGTGTCCAGCTCTTTTTAGGAGGGAGTATCGGAGGAACTAAAGAGGGATGGTGTGGGAGTGTCTATTTGGGCACGCGTGAGTTTCAGAGTCAAAACACACACAAACACACAGGAGAAAGTGACTGTTTACATGGACATCTGTAGTCGAATTATTTGCCAAATTATTAAATGGTGGACTTTAACTGCAGTTTGGCTCTTTCATTCAGGGAATTCATTCATGCCCCTCGCGACAAATGAGATATTTGATTGGAGGATCTGCTCTAAACATGTATTTTCATGCAATGTTTGATACCGGATGGCAAATGAGAGAAAAAAAAACTCTGCATTTCCCGGAAACTTAGATGCACACAGCAGGTAGTATCAGAAAGCCGCCTGTGTTATTCCAGTCACTAAATGCGGTGAAAATCCTACACGAGGTTAAAGTTTGGTTGTGGTGCTAACATGTTTACACTCGGTGCAATAGTTAACTTAGTTCGATACGAACAAACTGAATAAACAAAGAGCGCTGGTCGCTCACTTACCAAATCTGTAGAGACAGGACAATCACCAGCAACTAGAGCCGCGTCTTTATTAAGAGGAGACTACAAGCGAATCCGGATCTCAGCGTTTGCAGATGAGAACAGCTCTCAGTTAAACAATAATCCTCCTTAGACACGCAAGTTATTGTTGTCGAGCGTTGCGTACACTGTTAATCCACACGTGACTCCAGGGGCCTGTTTAAGTAAGGAGGTTCAAACAACTCAGAGTTTAAACTTGAACTCTGAGTTGATTTACCGAGAGATTGAAAACTCTTGAGTTTTCGGTTTCAGAACAGCTCGTCTGAGTTGGGTCAATCAACTTCGAGTAGACCAACTCAGAGTTAAGCGCGCACACCATGACTATAAAAAGGCATTATCAATAGAGTGTAGATATTACGAGTGACTATGGCAATATCTTATAAAAGAGATCACCATTTCTTTCTCCAGCTGAACTTGATGTTCTCATGCAAAGTTATAGCAAATATGAGCGTATATATTTGAAAAGAAGCAACCATCAGTGAAGAAGAGACAGCTAGCGTGGGAAAACAGCTGCTCAAGTTAATGCCTAATTTCACTTTTTAAGTATTTAAATATTTAAGTATAATAAAATAAGTAATGTAATTTGTGACGTTTATTATTTTTTTTTCTAAACTTTTTTTAATACATTTATTAGTTTTAAATGATTTAACAGTGCACTTGTGTGTCTGCCTTTTTTATTGATCAAGTGATAGAGGTTAATATAACATTTAGAAGGTAAGCAGTACTAAAAATAATTTTTAGAAAGAATAATAATCCCATTAATCTAGTTACATGCATGTCGAAGGTGAATTTAATTTAATTATTTATTAAAAAAGGATAAGCCATTCTCTTACAGTTCTTCTGTGTGTGACTAAAATGTAGGCAATAGCTGTGTTTCCATCCAAATATATTACATAAATTTATGTGCAAAACTGGAATATTGCATAAAAGATGCGAATAAAATTCCATCCAACGAGTCAAAGAGAAAAAAATCATCACTTCCTGATTAAACTGGCACCAAATATCAACAGTAAAAACAGAATTTACTGTGGTAGAAGAAGCTGCGTCAATTAATTCTTTATTTAGCCTAATTAATGTACTTGCGCCTCGGTGTCAGAAGACAATGCTGAAACACAATGAACACGTGGGGGCGTCTGAAGCCATGAGACGTGGAGACTCTTGACACGCACCAGACGTTCGGAGGTAATTAATAATATACACTAATACTGAAACAGTTCAGGCATTTTAGAATGACTAAAACAATATTTAAGACGTGTTACAGTGTGCTCAGCCTGCTGGTTTGTTCATTTACACACATTTTCATTATCATCTGATCATGATCTTTTTTTTAATGTACATACTGTAATTTGTTCAGTAAAAGTGTTTCCATCGTAGTTTATGCGCACATTTTCTATCGAATAAAAGTTTATCCTACTCAGTTATGCGCATTTTTTATGCATATTTTAAAAAGTTATGTGCATCATGACGTTTCTATCAATCGTTTTTATGCACATATCCAAAATAAGCATAAAAATAGGTGTGTGGAAACGTAAGGCTAAGGCGAGAAATACCGCTTCATCTTTAAAAAAGGGGAGGAGACAGACAGAAACTCTGAGTTTAGAGAATAAAACCTGCTTCTGACCAGGTTAGATTCACAGAGTAACTGACCACAGTAACTGACTCTGAGTTAAAGTTAACTCTCTTTCAGAAACAGGCTTGACTTACCCTGCTTTCTCGAGTTTAACAAACCTGCCATTTTGAAACGGAAAACCCAGAGTTTCTCTCATTTCTCATTTCAGAGTTTTCACTTAACCTCCTTTCTGAAACAGACCCCAGCTGTGCTCTCACAGAGAGAAAATGAAAACAAAACTTCACTGCAGCAAACTATAAAAGCAACACTTCACGCTTGTTTTGCCAACACAACGTGGCGTCTCTGTCGTCTAAACACTGTGACAGTAATGAATATTAATGAAGTTGCACAATAGAGCGCGCTGATTGGTTTGAACCGAGCTTTACTCATGCATTAATGCAGCACACTGTAAGACGTAATAAGACACACTCTGGCACAGACGTCCAGTCTGCACGCTGGAATACACGCTATTATCTCATGACCGTGACGCAGCTTCAAAAATTAGTTTCAAACCAGAAGTACGAATTTGCTTGAAATAACGCAAAAACAACCAATTTACACTTTCTAGTGAAATATAGGTGTCCTAATAGTGTTTTTAGCAGTGTGAGACACATATACCACTGTCAACAGCTCAACACATGTGTTTTGGTGTTTCGTGACTCTAAGAGCTCAAATGTGCTGTCCACATATGTGGACACTAAAGCCTTAGGAGGTTAAGGATGAAGTGAAAATGATTTCTTTATATGTAACATTCTTGCTTGGAAATATTCAGTGATTTCTTAAGAAATATCCAGTGATGACAGCTGAATTGGCAATCACAAAGCTCTTGCTCATAGTCTTTCTTTACTTAATTATATCTGCAATTTCATGAAGCAGGAGTTCCAGATTTCAGGCCAGACTTTATGTTCAAAAACTGGGAGACATCATTAAATTTTATATCAGAGATGTCATGATACTGGAATTCGGTACCAATCTATACTGAAATTTTAAAAACATCCATTTCCCCCGAACATTTCAGCGCTGTTGAGCACGTTCTTAAACAGTACTGATTTGCTATTGTGTTCACGTGCTCAACAGAAATGACTGTGATTGGCTGTGAAAGTCATCAGTTCACCGAACTCACTGCTATTTACTGAGTGTAAACACAGAGACAGGGACACTGGATCGTTATAAAGCTGCAGTTCATCAGCAGATCCCTTCTATGTCAGCTTATAGACAAACCAGCTGATCGACGTGACTTTGAAATGCTTCAGTGCCCCTGTATCTGTGTTACACTCAGTAAACAGCGGTGAGTTCGGTGAACTGATGACCTTCACAGCCAATCACAGTCATTTCTGTTGAGCACGTGAACACAATGGCAAATCAGCGCTGTTTAAGAACGTGCTCAAATGTGAGCGAGAAACGGATGTTTGTAATATTTCAGTATCGATTAGTACCGAATTGCAGTATTGTGACAACCCTATCGTCTTTCTGTTTTTAATACAGGCTTGTTAAACACTGCAAAATGCTTTTCTTACTTGGATCATTTTTTTATTTTTCATATTTTATGGTGGAAATGTTTAGTGGTGTTGAAGGGCAGATGATGTGTTCGAATAGAAGAACTAAACCAAAAACCACCCAGCTAGATGTTGTAAATGAGCTGTTGTTTAATGTGAGACACTTTATACTGGTGTGGTGGTGAAGTATGCTGTGTTTTTGACATGCTTAACAGATTGAATGTATTCCTGGAAAAACCTCATGTGAAATAAATTCCTTATATTTTTTAGCTGTGTTATCAGTTCAGTATTTTATTATTTGTTTGTCTTGTTTATGTACAAACATCCGTTAATCAAAGTAGAAAATATGAATTAAAGTCAGAAATTAAGTCTTGTGTTCTGAGAATTAAGTAAGTTTGAAACAAGAACAGATATCAGCTATTGAGGGGATTTATTAACAATTATTTAACAATCTGACTTGATTAAATATTTTCAGAATGCAAGACTTGCATGTAATCTCTTAAGTCAATTTTACTTAATTGTTTTGTTGGGAAATTATGAATTGTTGCTCACTTTCAACACCAAAAACGATGTTGTTTTGTTTAAATGTGGTTTAATGTTTTCAGTATAAAGCAGATCCTCTACTGGACTCAAGCATGTTCATTCACATGAATTGTGCATTTTATAAATAAGATATAAAAGCATCTGCTGAACACAGAAATGTGTAAACTGTGTGCTTAATATGATGAACACATGAGCGTTAAATCTCCTGTATGATGATCAATAATCTGATTGATTGTTTGAATGATTTATGGAGGGATTTTTTGACCGATTGATTGATTAATTCATTGATTTATGGATGTTTAGATTGATTGACTGTTTGATTAAATGATGGATGAATTAATTGATGGATTGATAGATTGGTTGATTTATGGATAGATGAATGAATTGATTGATTGATTGATTGACGGTTTGTCTGTTGCATGGATGGATTGATTCTTTGTGTGTGTGTGTGTGTGTGTGTGTGTGTGTGTGTGTGTGTGTGTGTGTGTGTGTGTGTGTGTCTGTCTTTGATTAGGGATGCACGATATATGTGCATATCAGTGGCCATACTGACATCAGCCAATAAATGCCATTTTTAATATTATTCTTATCAATATGAAAGGTTAACCATAGAAAATAATAGCTGACTATTTCACAAACTTTTTTTAAGTTCATAAACAGTTTTGAGGATGAGGTTTTAATATAAAATCAGTCGTTCACTGTATTAGTTTGGCTTTTGTTTTAGCAAACATGCCGAAAAATGACATTATATTATACATTTTTGGCTGATATATCTGCCGGACACCCCTAGATTTGAGTGTGATGTTGGTAATATTTTTGATCCTGAAATTGATTTCTAACTTGTTTAACTTTATGATAATCTGTTGATGAGTTTACTATTTTCTGCAGGTTTTTGACTTGATTTCCAGTCCAAAATTTCTTAAATCATTAAATTGTCGGGTACTAAATATTGTTTTGTTAATGTTTAATAATTAGTCAAAATTATGTGGGTTTTTCCTGTAAACAAGCTATTTATTTAGGCAATGGGTAAGCTAAATAATATCGTTTTTAGTGTTAAAGCACACTTAATATTCATTCATTCATTTTCTTTTCGGCTTAGTCCCTTTATTAATTTGGGGTCGCCACAGTGGAATGAACCACCAACTTATCCAGCTTTTTTTACACAGCGGATGCCCTTTCAGCTGCAACCCATCTCTGGGAAACATCCGCATCTCTTTGCACTGTGAAGGAAACGCCAACTAACAGCCGAGGCTCGAACCAACAACCTTCTTGCTGTGTGGCGACAGCACTACCTACTGCGACACCGCGTCGCCTACTCTTAATAATATTTCTGAAAACAAAATCTTTTGCTTGTCTTGAAAACAGCAATATTGTTAGCTGTTTGGACTAGAAACAAGACCAAAACTCTAAATAAGAAACTCTTTTTGTCATTTTTTGCTGGTGTTTTTCTGCTAGAGGTTGCAGCTTTTCTGTGGCGCGTGTTCATATCTGCTTCATCAGCAGTCTCGCAGAAAATGATGAAATTGATAATGTCCACATTATTATTTTATTTTTCGCTTCACCCAAACACAGCTGTTCAACTCAACTCTGATCTTCGTGATGCACATGTAAGTAAAAGAGTTTTATATTCGTATTATAGGAGAAAAAATATGCATATATGAATATACGAGAGCCACGTGCGTATAAAGAAAGAGTGAAAGGAAGTATTTTTTCTATTTTCTGCTAAATCACTCTGATCTTGTCAGGTTCTTCTAAACCTCCAGATTGAGAAACAAGAGAAAAACCACAGCACTTTCTCAGCCCTGTGTGTGTGAGAGAGAAAGAGTTCAGCGTTACTTCTGTTAAAATATTTAGTGTGTGTGTGTGTGTGTGTGTGTGTGTGTGTGTGTGTGTGTGGTTTAATACACAGGTCTGCTGATGTTCTACATGTGGAGTGTGTGTTTTAATGCTTCAGATGAAGATGAACCGCAGCAGGTGTGTGTGTGTGTGCACGCTGCTCTGCTTTCTCTGCCTCTCTCGTAAGTATTAATGCTGTTTCCTCTGTGTTTCTAATATCTGGACACAGTTGTGCGGTTTTAATTCGTATGTGTTTATATGTGAAAAATAGCTGAAAAGAAGACATTGTGCCGGTCAGAATTATTGATTTGTCTTTATTGTTAAAAACGATTAGGCTATTAGTTAAAGTTCATGTTCCATTAAGATATTTTGTACGTTTCCAACTGTAAATATATTAAAATCTAATGTTTGATTATTAATATGCATCGCTAAGACCTTCATTTAGACACATTTAAAGGTGATTTTCTTTATATTTATATTTTTAGACAGATCTTCTAGTTGTTTTTCATACAAATATTGTCCATCCTAACAAATTATTCCTCAATAAACGCTTATTTATTCAGCTTTTATATAATATAAATCTCAATTGATGAAATTAGACCCTTATGAATGGTTTTGTGATTGCTAAATATGAAGTTTAATGAAAGAAATGCAATGTACTGATACACAGTTGAAGTCAGAATTATTTGCCCCCCTTTGAATTCTTTTTTTCTGTTTTTTAAATATTTCCTAAATGATGTTTAACAGAGCACGGAAATGTTCACAGTATGTCTGATAATATTTGTTCTTCTGGAGAAAGTGTTGTTTTATTTAGACAAGAATAAAAGCAGTTTTTAATAGTTTTGAAGTAATTTTAAGGTCAATATTATTAGCCCCCTTCAGCAATATTAGTGTTGGATTGTCTCCAGAACAAACCACTGTTATACAATGACTTGCCTAATTAAACTAGTTAAGCCTGTGAATGTCACTTTAAGCTGAATAAAAGTGTCTTGATAAATATCTAGTCTAATATTATTTACTGTTATCATGACAAAGAGAAAATAAATCGGTTATTAGAGATGAGTTATTAAAACTGTTATGATTAGAAATGTGTTGAAAAAAATCTTTGGGGTAGGGCTAATAATTCTGACTTCAACTGTACATGTGCATGTAAAAAATTAACTCAGAACTTAAATGAATAATTTAGAATGAATTTAATTGATGATAAATAATTGTTTTATAATTAATTTTTAAATAATGAATTAAATGTTATTACTTTAATATATTAAATTAATATAATATGTTTTATTAAATAATTAAATGTTTTTGAAAATCAGAAAAATCTGCGAATATATTAAACTTTTTCTAAAAATAAAAGCTTAAAGCATAAATAAATGTAGGACCTTATTTAATAGACATTAATGTGGTAATCATTAATTAATCATTAGTATTAAATATCTAAATGTTCCTAAAACAAGATGCATTTACTGGAAAAGCAAAATGAGTAGAGGTATTATATTTAAGTGACATTTTTATTATGTTATTATTTTTCTTAAGATTGTGCTTTAAATCTAAAAATATAATTAATAAAATTAAAAAATAAACTTAATTCAAACGTAGTTTTCAAACCCATCTGCATTTTAAAACTTAATTTAGAAAATGTTCAAAAATGTCCTTAATAATTTTTTTATTAAAAGAGTCACAAATTAATTAATGACATAAAATAATATGCAGAAATTTGACTACAACAAATGCATTCATTTTCTTTTTCGGCTTAGTCCCTTTATTAATTTGGGGTTACCACAGCGGAATGAACCGCCAACTTATCCAGCATATGTTTTACGCAGCGGATGCCCTTCCAGCCGCAACCCATCACTAAGAAGCACCTACACACTCATTCCCAGACACACATACACTACGGCCAATTTTAGCATACTCAGTTCACCTGCACCACATCTTCAGACTTGTGGGGGAAACCAAAGCACCCGGAGGAACACAGGGGGAGAACATGCAAACTCCACACAGAAATGCCACCGTGTCACCCAAAAAAGCAATATACAAAATATTATTTATGTTGCAAACATTTTGTTAATATAAAAAGTAAAAAAACAATAATATTAAATTACGTTTGTATTAATGATATACATTAATATATATTTAAAAAGGTTTGTGTTTGGATGGATTAGTGCTACAACAAGAATAATATAGAGCTTAATTAAATAGAAAATTTAATTGTATAAATCATTTAAATGTTCTTAAAATAAGATATATTTACTGGAGAAGCAAAACTAGTTGAAATTTTTTCAAATAAAATGTGCATAAAACTACTGTGAATATGGCAGAGCTCAGAAAAATAAGCTTCATTCAAAGAAGATTTAAAATAATTTTAATCATTAGTAATAATAATTTTTATTTGCATTTTAGATCTTAATTTTGTAATATTTTTAATTTTTGTAACATTTATAAATGACATGGTCATACAAAAAAAAAACTACAAATAGCAAAAAAGAAAAGAAGAAATGCATCTAAAACCATATTTTGCTAGACAGAATGTGTTGCAAACATTTTCCACAATAGAAAGTAAACAAAACAGTAATATTAAAGTACTGTTGTACTAATGATACAATAATATATAATAATAATTTTAATAATGTTTAGATATTTGTGCTGGAAATCAACACAGAAAGACTGAGGAAGAAGATTGCATTTGAAGCGCATTGATGATTATCATCTGTGTTTGATTTAATCGAGTCCTTATTTCCTCTAGGTTTAGTCCTTTACGTGTCGCTTTTGAACAGAGACAGAAAAATGAGATTAAATGATTTCCAATCTTCAACACTTTGGTGCACGGATTAAATGCGCTTGGTGTCATTTTGAAGAAGACTGATGTCAGATTGTAGCTGAAAAGAAAAAGTTCAAACTAAAGTTATGTGACTCTTAATGAAAATATTAAAAGAGTAAATGTACATTTTAATGCTACATAAATTGTGTATTTTACAAAACCCATTTAAGCCCAAATCAGAAAAACTGAATATCCGAAGAAATTATATTCAAAATTTGAAGAAGATATCTCAAAATAAACAAGCTTTTAGTAAGATTTAGTTTGGCCGCAGTACCAGACATGACCACCAGGTGACATTCAGTTTACAGAGCATACAGTATAAAGGAGTCCACCGTTTATGTCTTATGTTTTCAGAAATATGAATAATATTTTTTAATACTTTTCACAACATTTATAATGCAGACATCAAATTCTAAAGTAGTATTGGCAATTTGGTGATTTTTTGATTTGGGTTTAGTTTCTAAAAACTGGATTGCTGTAGCAAAGTAATGCTTTTCGACTCTGAGTGCTCTTGTTGCAAATGAATAATTAACTGCTGCTCAGTCACACCTATCAAAAATCAGCCACCAGATATAGAAGCTGTTCAAGCCTTCAAATGATATATACTGTAGTTAGTCATGATTGCTTTGTTTAAATTATACTATTATGGTTTAAATATGTAACTATAAATGGTTGTAGGATGACAGTAAATAGATTTTAATCTCCTACATAACAAAAACAGCGGTACGATATGCGTTTAGAAGACTTTAACCTTTCCAATGATATAGTTTGTCATGATTAGATTCTGATTTAATTGCAATATAGTGACGTAAACATGGGGCAGCACGGTGGTGCAATGGGTAGAACAATCATCTCACAGCAAGATGGCCGCTGGTTTGAGCCTCGACCGGATCAGTTGGCATTTCTGCATGTTCTCCCCGTGTTGGCGTGGGTTTCCCAAAAACATGTGGTGCAGGTGAATTGGGTAAGCTAAATTGTCCGTAGTGTATGAGAATGAGTGCCAGTGTGCGTGTGAATGAGTGTGTATGGATGTTTCCCAGGCAAAGGTTGCAGCTGGAAGGGCATATGCTGTTTAAAACAAATGCTGGATAAGTTGGCGGTTCATTCCGCTGTGGCGACCCCTGATTAATAAAGAGACTCAGCTGAAAAGAAAATGAAGTAAATGTAAAAGCAGGTTGATTGTAATAAATGCACACTGCAATAAATATGTCCATTTCTGTCTCTAAAAAGACATTCTAGTCATTATTCAGAATGTTTCTTCTGTCACTGTGTGAAATTAATCGGTTTTATAATATTTGTAGGTGCATTGAAGGGAAACGTGAAGCAGGTTTTTAGCATTCAAGGTAAATTCTCTTGTTTGAGTGAAATATGTGAAGAATAATTGACAACAGGCTGTTGAATGTGAACCTTGGTCTGTTTATTTATCTATTTATTTGACATAAACATCACAATTACACTGGACAAACAAATGCATTAGTTTAAGAACTATAATGTTGTGTATTTGTATTTATTATATCTCCATTTTGTCAATGTTTTCAAGCCTTCTGTTGACAGATGTTGAAAATTAGCAAGTTTGCTTAAACACTTAAACTAATTGAATTGAATTTATTGAGTGGGATAGCCCCTTGAGATGAATCATCTCATTTTCCAGGGGGTCCCTAAAAGTTCACAAGTCAAACAGAGTACAACACATCATAAAGTACATACACTTGACAAGACAAACAAACAAACAAGCAGCACACTCCACCTGAAACACTTCCCATAACCCGAAGCCTAAATAAGCAACAACATATAATCAAAAGTACAAACTATTTGATATGCAAATAAATAATAAACATTTAATTTAATTTGGAGCCAAATTTAATAACATTCGCAAGTTGTTTCTAGAAGAGAAAATAAATTAGCCCTAAAAAGACGAAGTGATTTAATTGATCTAAAAAGGGAAGAGAGATTGTTCCAGTCGAATGCATCTGGTTGTCCAGTGTAATTGTGATGTCCATGTCAAATAAATAAATAAACAGTCCATGGTTTTATACTGAGAGTACATTAACGGATACTTTTAAAATATCTCTCCAGGAAGAATGTTTAGTTATGTATCGTATATCAAGATAAAAAATCATATTTCATGTTTTTAAAGGACATAATTTACAGCAATGGTCTCAAACTCAATTCCTGGAGGGCCGCAGCTCTGCATAGTTTAACTCCAACCAGCTCCAAATCACAGCTGCTTAATATTGTCTAGTAGTCTTGAACAGCTTGATCAGTTGATCAGCTGTGTTTGATTAGGGTTGGAGCGAAACTGCAGAGCTGCGGCCCTCCAGGAATCCAGTTTGAGACCTGTGCTTTACATCAACAGTCCATTAGTTTACCACATATAACAAATAATGAACAGTACATTAAGTATTTATCCATGTTTCTTAACATTAGTGAATGAAAAAGTAAAGTCCTTCATTTTGTGATCTCAGTATATTAGCTGATGTTAGCAAGCCTGAATTTGTATGTTAATAATTTATCAGTAAATGTTGAATAAATGATGTGGTGTTCATTGTTTAATTTTATTAATGAAACACATTCAGCTTTAGTCTAAAGTCTGAGCATTTTAAATGATGATAGTTATTTTTTTGTACATTCTCTTATTGATTTGTTAAGATGTTGCTGTTATTATGTATTAAGTAAGATGTTTTTATCTATGTTGATCTTGCCATGTAATAGGCAAAAGATGCTGATGTTGCAATAAACGACCAAACACAAAAATAACGCCCACTGTAAAAACAAATAAAAGTTTTCTGTATTTTTGTGATTTGTGTTTTTCTTTCTGCTTCGGAGTTGCAGTTTCATTATTTAGTGTTTATTTGTGGTGGTGAGTTGCATTATGGGATGTTGATCTCTGCTCTGTCCACTTCTGATGTTGAATATTCAACTCTACACTTTACTAAAGTGGCTTTAATTGACATTTTAGTGGTTTGAAATCATATAAGAGATAATATCTAGAGGATTAAGTGTGTAAAATAGCAGAAAAAGGAGTCTGTAGTGTAATATACAACACCAGCACACACAATAAAGCGCTGCACAGCATTACACATGTGCAGAACACACACTTTTACAGGTTAAAAGTCATTGGAAGAAGGATCAAGATCCGTTAATGCAATTCAGAAGCAGAAATAAATGTGGAAGAATAATAACATGGATCACAAAATGATGTTTTCTACATTGTATGTTAATTATTAACCTTCACTTTTCTGATTTTGGTTGTAAGGCAATAATGTGCACCTTTAGTAAAGTTGCTTTAAAACAATACTTATTGTGAAAAGTGCTGTTCAAATAAAGTTGAATTGAATTTTCCAGAGCTGACGGTGACCGGTGCAGACATGATGCATTGTGAGAAACAGCCGAAAGTGTGTGTGACGTCTGACACCGACTGCCTGCATTCACCAGCAGATCTTCATTCAGCTCCAGGTATGATTGAACATGACTTTACATCCTGAGTTTACAGATTAATTACTGTGATTAGGTTACTGTTACACTATAAAAAGTCAAGTAACAGACTACTGTTCATTTTCAGGTGCAGTTGAAGTCAGAATTATTAGTCCTGAATATTTTTGTTTATAAGTTCTGTTTCCTTCCACACATTTCTAAACATAATAGTGTTAATAACTCATCTCTACTAGGGCTGTAACGGTATCAGAATTTCACGGTACGGTAATACCTCGGTATGAATGGCACGGTACGGTATTTATTGAATCATTTACAGAAAAAACAAAACTAATGAAAAGACTCGAAAAAAGTGCCAAAAGTGTTTATTTGCCTTAGCACTGAACATATCAATGACATACAAATCAGCCATCTATCTGTAAGCTTCGAAACAGGAACTTCAACTTTTCAATTTTAATAACAAAAAACTATTAAACCATATAAAAAAATATAATAAATATTCAATATTATATATTGAAATATTCAATTATAATATAATAAAGTTTCAATTTAGTATTGTTGAAAACTCATCACATTCAACATTTAATCACTCACTCACTCAGATAGAGATGGGTTTTAAAGAAAAATGATCATATAACTATAATCTGGTAAACGCTGGGATCTCTGGGCATGTCCCCTGCAACAGAAAAACCCCTCTCATTTGGGACTGAGGTTTCTGGGACAGAGAAATATGATTTAGCCAAGGTTGACAGCAGTGGGTAACGTTGTGCATTGTCTTTCCCCCACTTGAGAGGACAAACCATGAGTGAGATAGAGATCTCTTTGCGGTACAAGTCAATGTCTGCATCAATCTGAACAGTGTGCTGTGTTCTGCAGACTCCATGACTGTTTTTAGTCGTATTCCCCGACTTATATTTCACCACAGTCTGGCAGCGCCTGCATAATGTTTTTTTCTTTGTCTGTCACCTTTTCTCCTTTTTCATATCTTTTAAAAAAAGAAACCGAAATGCTTCCACACATCCGATTTAAAACCCGCTTTAGGTTCGATCATTTCCAGCTCTTTTTCTTCCCCGCTACTAGCAGCACACTCCATTTCCGCATTACTGAATCTGTAGTGACAACAGACCGCAAAGGATGATGGCCACGCCTGGGCTGATGGGAATTGTAGTTCCCGCTACCTCCCGTTCACTTCATTCGCCAAAGCAAACTTTTCTCAGAAATATAGTTTTATTGAGTCATGTGGCTACGGTAATATTAAAAAAAATTACTATTGCGGTATGACGGTGTTTACAATATTGTTTCATCCCTAATCTCTACTGATTTCATTTCTCTTCACCATGATGACAGTAAATAATATTAGACTAGATATTCTTCAAGACACTAGTGTTCAGTTTAAAGTGACATGTAAAGGCTTCACTAGGGTAATTAGGGTAAGGTTAGGATAATTAGGCAAGTCATTGTATAACAGTGGTTTATTCTGGAGACTATCTAACACTAATATTGCTGAAGGGGCGAATAATATTGAGCTTAAAATGGCTTTAAAACTATTAAAAACTGCTTTTATTCTAGCCGAAATAAAACAAATCAGACTTTCTCCAGAAGAACAACTATTAGAGGAAATTAGGGATGCAACAATACAGTTAGCCCACGGTTCAATACATGCCTTGGTTTTTCAAAAAGGTTTTTGGTTCGGTTCTCATGGCTTGACAGGTGTGTTTTTTTTATTATTCTATAGGCAATAGGAACAGTAAGAGGTTAAGGAGAAAAAAAAATCATTTTGTTTTACTTAAAAGCACAGAAAAGTGCACTAGTTCCTAGAGTATTGGAATAAAAAAAAAACTAACACTGAAATCTCACAGCTGCTGTAGCCCATGTACAAACTGGGGAACACATAAAATCCTGCACTTTGAAAATAAACACACATGTGAAGTTAATACAGATAAACTCAAATCAACATATTTGTACTTCAGTAAACATAAATAAACCATCTTGATTATCTCTGTGCTGAAATAAATGTGAGACTGTAGTCTGTAATGTGGATCCAGTGCTTTTATAAGATGACAAAAGCCCACATCTCCAATCACCCTAAACGGCTTCAGCAATAATCACCCGCACTGCCTTTGATATTTCATGCGTCTCTCGGAGCCAGTTCGGTATGTTTGTTGACAGATTCAGCGAGGGATTGTTGCTCTTTGGAGGACTGTGTTACCTTCTCTGCTGTCCTGCCTTCAGACAGTGATATTGCTGGGTGATGCGCTGCAGATGTGCAGTCATGGTTATATGTGTAAAACAATGCTTGTACAGTTATTTTTTGTTCACCGTTTTTTCTTTTATTGGCATTATACTTACCGCCTCCCTTCACCGGCGCTTCCTTGTACTGTTGCCTCAGCCTCACGTCACCGCCGCTCGCCATGTTAAAGTGTGGAGTGATGGTCAAGCGCCCCCTAACTTTAGAGCATAGTGATTGGATATTTACTCGCGGGGAGGAGTTTCCTCATCTCAGCTCATGGATTTAGAGCAGCGGTCACCAAACTCGGTCCTGGAGGGCCGGTGTCCGTACAGGGTTTAGCGCCAACTTGCCTCAACACACCTGCCTGGGTGTTTTAAGTATACCTTGCAAGAGCTTGATTAGCTTGTTCAGGTGTGTTTGATTAGGGTTGGAGCTAAAACGTGCAGGACACCGGCCCTCCAGGAACAAGTTTGGTGACCCCTGATTTAGAGGCACACACAGTCAATTCAGGGCGATATAAAACACACATAAATTATTTAAACGCAAAACCCACAAACCGCAATTCACAAGCGCGTATTGAACCGTGAATGACGTCCCGTACAGTTTAATATTATATGGAGAACCGTGGCATCCCGGAAATACTGTGAACAAATCCTGAATCTGTTCATATTTGAAAAAGAAAAACTAAATAATCTGCTAATCACTTTATTTTGATGGTGCATTTGAGTATTAGTACACTGTCATAGATACTGCTGCTAAACAGACATTTAGATGACTATAAGAAACTTTGCAAGTACATGTCAGCTTACACTAACCCCAACCTAACAGTCTACTGAAAATCTAATGAGGATTAGTTGCCATGTAGATGCAATTCAACTTAAACTCAACACACAGACCATCAAACTAAAGCCTAATCTGCCAATTTAGTATATGAAATAATATTATTTTAAACCAGTAACAAGATTATTTTGCTTGCATTGTTGGTTTTTTTGCTTATTTGGAAGAAACACTGGTTTAATTTTGACTCATTTCTTATATATTCTTTTGGAATATTAAGATATTTGTTCTATAAACACGACTAAAACTCTTATTAAACTCTCAGTAAGTAGCAGTCTGTTTGTGAATCTTGTCTGTTTAAGCTGATATAAAGCATTAAACTCTAAACTCTCTCTATCTTCCCCCAGAGAACTTCCTGAACACCACTTGTCACTTCCTGTTCCAGGAGAGCTCACTGACCTGCAGATGGACACAGATTAGAGACAGCAGATCTGAGATCAGCAGCAGCTTCATTTTCAGCCAGTAAACACACACATATATGCACACACACAGCTCTTCCTCAGTGACAGGTCTGTATCTGCAGCTTGTAAACGTGTGGTCTGTGTTTTATTAGAGCTTCAGAATGAAGGAGATTTTATTTTATGGAAAAGTATTTTTTTTTTTTTTAAGATTTAATAAATTAAATTGCAAATTGAAAATACATTTGAGTTGTCATTTAATTGAATACATTTTAATTTAATTGTATGTAATTTTAGTTTATTAAATTAACTTTTATTTTATTTCATTTTAGAAATTGACATAAATTAAAATACATTTGAGCTGTGATTTAATTTAAGAAATTTTTATTTAATTTATTTTATTTTGTTAAATTTTATTTTATTGAAAAAATTGAAATGTAAATTGAAACTACATTTGAGCTGGGATTTCATTTAATAATTTTTGTATTAATTTAATTTAATCTAATAAATTAAAATGCTAATATAGAATACCTTTGATCTGTAATTAAATTTAATTATTTTTATTTAATTAACTTAATTACATTTTTATTAATTTAATAGATTTTTTTATTTTATAAATTGAAATGCTTATTGAAAATAAATTTGAGCTAGGATTTAATTAAAATAAATATTTTGATGGTTAAATTTATTTTAATAAATTAAAATGCAAATATAGAAGACATTTGATCTTAAATTTAATTTAATTATTTTGATTTAATTAAATTAAACTTTTATTAATATTATTTATTTATTTTATAAACTGAAATGCATATTGAAAATACGTTTGAGTTGTGATTTTATTTGATTAAATTTTTAACTATTTTCTTTTATTTTATTTTACGCTTAGAAATTATAATTAATAAATAAAATATATCCAGTTTGTTCTAAATTATTAGTCCAGAAGCAAATACAAATTTAAATGCTAATCGAAAATACTTATTCATTTATAATTTAATTTCATATTTTGTAATAATATAATGATAAAGTCATATACCTCCAGTTTTGTCTAAAATTATGTGTCCATGAAAATAAATAAATAAAATAAATAAATAAATAAATGTTTACTCGTTAAAAATATATTTGAGTTTTTAAAAATGTATTAATAATATAATATAAAATAACATTGAGATAAATTACTATTTTTATAAGGCACATATCTCCAGTTCTGTTCAGATTATTAGCCCTGACGCAAATACGGAGCAATGGAAACAGGTTGGAAATACAAGACATGCCAAAAGATAAACACATTTATATAATTATTACATTTATTTATGCTTGTGTGGCTTGTGTTTTTCAGAGCTGAAGACGTGGACGACTGTCCGTCCATAATAAATGTGCTCTCCAGCTTCTTTTTAATTATTAAAACTAAGGATTTGTTGACCCAGAAGGAGATGTTCTCTCACCCCTATCCGCTGCTCATGGAGGATATAGGTGGATTATGATTTTGTTATTTATTTATGATGATGAGTATGACAGATATTCTTTTCAAATGTTTCCCAATGATGTTAAAAGTTTCACGAATTTTTCAAAGTATTCCCTTTTTATATTTTTATTCTTTCTTTTTAACAGTTTTAAAGCCATTTTAAGGTCAATATTATTAGCCCCCTTCAGCAATATTAGTGTTGGATTGTATCCAGAGTAAACCACTGTTATTCAATAACTTGCCTAATTACCCTAACTTTACCCTAATTACCCTAGTGAAGCCTTTACATGTCACTTTAAGCTGAACACTAGTGTCTTGAAGAATATCTAGACTAATATTATTTACTGTCATCATGGCAAAGAGAAAAAAGATCAGTTATTAGAGATGAGTTATTAACACTATTATGATTAGAAATGTGTTGGAGAAATCTGCTCTCCATTAAAGAGAAATTGGGAATAAATAAACAGTAGATAGTGTATATATATATATATATATATA